TCGTCTAAGTGCATTTCTACCATCCTTTTCTGATTCACTTTTTTTCTTCATTTTTTCAAGCAGTTATCCAATTCCTTTAGCAGTGAACTACAAGGCCTACAGCAAAGCTTGCTAAATCTCTGGGTTCAGCCATCCGTCCTCCAACCCTACAACCCTCCACCACAGCGACATCACTCACTAATTCTGACCTCTCGGGAGTTGCCAGTTTTCATCATTGGCAACCGGACAGACTGACTGGGATCTAAACTCAAGAGATTATTTCTTAATCCCCACTGCTTTGCTCTCCCCTTCCTTTTACGGAGTTCCTTATAATCTCCGCTTGTGATCAGGCTTTGGTGAGCCTGCCTTGAACTGGTGGCTCAGGTTTCTATTCTGCACACTGGAGGGATGGCTACACCTCCAGTAGTTTGTGTGTGTAATGCTTTCCCCTTATCGATGAGTTGTTGATACACACGATTGCATAGCGTACTGTTCTTCACAAGTCCATCTCTTCTGGAGGCACACTGTTCCATCCTTTGTTCACAGTCTGTTGTGTGTGACTGCTGATATCAAAGTTACACCATGACATGTACATTACTGTTCCATGGTCACAAGCAAGGCCAGTCAGCCCTTCAATGAGATCATGGCTGATCTGATAATCCACTTTCCCTGCCTTTTTCCCGAATAACCCTCGATTGCCTTCCTGATTAACAGTCTGTCTGAAGGGTAGAGTTGTCATAATCCTACCAGGCCATAGCGCTGCTTTCTCGTTAAAGATAGAGAGAGAAGGCTGGCAGTGGTTTAACCTGAGGGTCACCACACCTGAAGCGAGGGCAGAGGTTGAGAAGGAGAGTCCTTCGCAATAACCTCAGCTGGTGTGGGGCTTGAACCCACACTGTTGGTGTCACTCTGCATCACAAGCCAACCAACTGAGCTAACCGTCTGCCTAGAATACACGAAACGCCCCTCTATTACTGACCTCCACCTTAAAATCTCCTTATGTGTCTCAGCATCAACACTTGTGCAATATTGCTTCTCTGGAGCAAATCATACAACATTAAAGGCACTATATAAATGCATACTGTTATTTTCATACAATCAGAAGAATTTATCCAAACACCTTCTGTTTGGGCGGCACCATGGCTCAGTGGTTAGCACTGCTGCCTCACAGCGCCAGGGACCCAGGTTCGATTCCACCCTCAAGCGACTGTCTGTGTGGAGTTTGCATGTCTCCCCGTGTCTGTGTGGGTTTCCTCCGGGTGCTCCAGTTTCCTCCCGCAGTCCGAAAGATAAGTAGGTTAGGGTGGATTGGCCATGCCAAATTGCACATGGTGCCCAGGGATGTGTGAATTTGCCATGGGAAATGCAGGGTTACAGAAATAAGGTGGACGTCTGGGTCTGGGTCTGGGTAGGATGCTCTTTGGTGACTCAATGAGCTGAATGGCCTCCTTCAGCACTGTAGGGATTCAACGTGAATCTTATGATCAGTACCTGTTCATTGCTTAGGATTGGGACTAGGACGCACTATTGATAAAGTGTCGGAAATCAGTTTGGAATGCGAAAATGAGCTGAGTACGGTTTCTCATTGGTGCAACTGGTACAGCTTAGATCTGCAGCAGCTCCAAGCACATTCATCCACCACAAAACACCGAAGGGTGATCAGTCATATGCATCTAGCAGAAACCTTTCTGAAGTGTGATTTACGTTCACCACAGTCAGAGCACAATATAAACTAACCAACAGGATGTCTACTACAAACCTGTGACCTCCATCATCCAGCAGGACAAGGACAGGTGCTGTAGAGAAAAGCCATCTCTTCCCAGTCACAAAGCACATATTGACCATATCTTTACTGCCACTGAATCAAAATCTTGGATTTCCACAAAGGAACCGAACGAGTTCCCGCCTTCTTATAGGCAACTAGTGATCGACTTACCGGAAAAAAACAAAAGAACTACGGATTTTTAAAAATTTATTCATTTGTGGGCTGGCTCGGCCAGCATTTCTTGCCCATCCCTAGCTGCCCTTGAGAAAGTGGTGGTAAGCTGCCTTTTTGAACTGCTGTGGGTTGACCCACAATGCCATTAAGGAGGGATGCTGTAAATCAGGAACAAAAACAAAGTTGCTGGAAAAGCTCAGCAGGTCTGGCAACATCTGTGAAGGGAAAAACAGAGTTAACGTTTCAGGTCCGATTACCCTTCCTCAGAACCTTCCTCAGAAGTTCTGACAGTCATGAAAGTTTCTTCCAATGGAATTATCAGTGAAACCGGATGTTTCCCTAACTTTCATTCACCTCACGTTATCAACACATTCTTCCATTCCCATCCCCCTTATGAACATTCTGAGATTCCCAGTAAATACCCCCAGACTATTCACGTCCACTAACTCAAATGGTAGTAGAACACCCACGTTCAAATCACACTCAAAGCAGTTCCTCTTGAAGCCCTTATTGGATTTGTCAGTCTTTATCATCATCGGCCCTCATTTTAGACTTCCTCAGAAATGGGAACACTTTCTCTATGTCCGCCCTCGTCAAAAACCCATTAAGGACCCAATCCCTCAGTCTCTTCCAGGCAAAAGAATCCAGGTCCAGTACCGGGGCAACATCCAATTTGGCAATCTCACTCATGAGGGATGCAGGGACTCTGATCTGTGGTGATAGAATTTAGCAGCTGCCGTGCCAGGGTGAGATAGGAGTTGGAATAGGGCCGAAGGAGCTCCCCATGTGGGAAATACCCTGCAGCTCTAATATGCTTCAATTGATGAGCAGTTGCAATATGTCATGGGCTGTATGAGCCAACTCAAGTCTTCCCCGGTGCAAAGTTAACCTTCGCATCAAGGATGGTTCAAGTGTTATGTTCTAACAGAAGCTCTCTCTCTCTCTCCTTGTTTCCAGCGTTGTTCCTCTGCACTCTTGTGGAGCGATGTTCAGCTATCCCTACTCGCTGTGCTCCTGGAGAAACAAACAGGGATGGACACTGTGGAAGGAACGGTAAGGGAACTATCACTGGCACATGGTCACTGACTATAGCAATCAAACCTCTCGTTGAAATATGGAAAACAGCAACAAAGAGTAGGCCATTCAGCCCTTCCATTCAACATGATCATGGCTGATCTTCCAACTCAGTCCCCTGTTCCCACTTTCACCCCATACGTTTTGATACCTTCAGCCCTAAGAGCTATATCTATATAATAAAACGTAGAACAGTCCAGCATAGGAACAGGACTTTTGACCCACCATAACTGAGCCAACCATGTTGCCTTTCTAAAATAATCCCACCTGCCTTCACATGGGCCATATCCCTCTATTCCCTATCTATTGATATGTCTAACTAAATGCCTTTAATTGTTACTATTGTGTATGTTTTCTTAATTCACTCACATCTTTGGCTAGGCATTTATTGCCCAGAGGGCAGTTAAGAGACAAACACGTTGCTTTGGGTCTGGAGTCACATGTAGGCCAGACCAGGTAAGGATGGCAGTTCCCTTCCCTAAAGGACATTAGTGAACCAGATGAGCTTTTGCCAACAATTGGCAATTGATTCACGGTCATTATTAGGCGTTCTGAAATTTTATTATGTAAACTGAATTCAAATTCCACCATCTGTCATCACAGGACCTCAACCCAGGTCCCCCAGAACATTAGTTGTGTTTCTGGATGAATAGGCTGGTGATAATACTACGAGGCCATTGCCTCCCCTACTTCTAATACCTTCCCTGAACAGGGTGTTCCAGGCACCTACTACCCTCTGTGTAAAAAAACGTGCCTCGCACATCTCCTTTGTACTTTTCCCCCTCTCTTAATTCCTTCAGTATGGCTTCTTTGTTTAATTGTGATTGGGTGATTAATCATTCTGGAACTGAAGTGGGATATTTTGTGCAGGGGGAAGTCATGAGAAATTTAAGATTTTGAAGATCATAAGGCAAGGCTTATGTCTTCCACTGATCTTTACAAACACGATGGGAAATTAAGATTAAACCAAGACACACAGTATTTATATGGAATTAAGCCTGTCATTCTCACCTAGCGGAGGAAAGCACAAACAAACACAGAAGTGGCTGGAAAAGCTCAGCGGGTCTGGCAGCATCTGTGAGGAGAAATCAGAATTAATGTTCCGGGACCGGTGACCCTTCCTCAGAACTTAGAGAGATGAGCAGAACTTCTTCAGTTCTGAGGAAGGGTCATCGGACCCAAAACGTTAACTCTGATTTCTCCTCACAGATGCTGCCAGACCTGCTGA